ATTGTAGATTTATTAGTTACTAGAATACTGTCTTTCTAAGCAAGACAAAATTTAGATTTTGTCAATATCGGTTTATCAGTGATGTGATATCCGAGGTGGCAATTCAGCACTTTTCTATGATTGACATTGGAGCAGGAGACCACTGCTGCTTGTCTTTATCTATGTTTATATCTGGTTACGTGCATCACGTGTTTTTCGATAACTTGAGAATATTAAAAATCCATATTAATCGATGCGAAAAATAAATATGAGTCAAAATATAAAAACCGTGCTTGTGCCTCAGTGTTATGATGTGTCTTCAAGACGGAAATTACGGTATAATTATGGCTTAAAACCCCGCAAACATGAAAAAGTATGTTGGTGTTTAAATTAAATACATTTGATTATTTTATTATTTCTTGTTCTAGACATACAGGTGATACCGCTGTTCTGGACTTGAAGCATTGAAGACGCTAGGGATCACGTGAGAAAACCACACACAAAAAATGTTCGCATAAGATACGGCAAAAATGTAAAGGTATGTTGATGTTTAAATTAAATGCATTTGATTATTTTATTATTTCGTGTTCTATACTACAGGTAATGTCGCTGTTGTGGATTTGAAGCATTGAAGATCATGGATCACCAGATCTCCATATTTAGTTAGAAAACCACACATGAAAAATTTTCGCATAAGAGACAAGTAAGGTTGTCTGAACCTAATTATTCGTCTATTAATGTAAAACTATTATCTGTATTTTTTTATTTGTACCAGTTTAATTTTGGTTGCTTTCTATTTTGCGATAAGCATGTTTTCTTGGATCGAAGGAAATCAACAAAAGTATAATGAACGTGATGTATCAATGCAAATCGCTATACCTAATTGTATTTCTACACAATAGAATAATCTGTGGATGAACGAAAATACTCTTCTATCAATGTAAAACTATTAACTGTATTTTGTTGTTGTGACCAATATTCAAATTTGTAATTGCTTATAGAATTTTTGTTAAGAGCACATTGCGAAACACTTTAATTGATCGAGAACAAAATGAAAGGGCAAAAGCCACAGAGCTTGAACATGTAAGGAATATAAAATAATAAGTGTAGTTTTTTAGATAAAGGTTTGTGTTTTATCTCACAGTCACACATCATTGCGACAACGGCAAAAATGCTGAAAACGTTTTTGATTGAGTTTTTTAGTCCGTAGTTATAAGTTATATTTTAATTTATTTATTATCCATTTAATTAGTTTTAGATTAGTTGCAAGTTACTCTTGTTGTTGAAAAATTACTTCAGTAAATAATTAAATATGTGAATAAACTAATAAGAGGAAATAAAATATTGTTTTACTTACGTTACATATATGTATGTATATTCCCTGAACATACCATATACATTCACTAAACATACACATGTACATTCACTGAACATACCATGTACATTCCCAGAA